GGGGAGCAGGGCCCGCGCGCCGGCGGAGGGAGGAGAGGGGGCGGGGAGGTGGCGCGAACCCGGCCGCTCCCCTCCGCCCCCGCCCCGCGCTCCCTTTAGCCCCGCCCCTGATCCGCCCCTCCGGAGCGCCTCTAGCCAATCAGAAGCGGACTGATCTGCATACGGAGGCCCCGCCCCTTTCTCGCGGTCAGAATGGTCTCTACGCCGCCGCGACGTGGCGGGAAGGAAAAGGCGCCAAAATGGAGGGGGAGGGGCGCGGGGCGTGCGGGGAGGCGGGAGCTGGGTGGCGCGCGCCGCCGGGGAGGAAGGATGGGGAGGGGCGTATCGATTCAAACCCAAACAATAACAAAGCCATCAAAGGCCGCCCGAGGCCGGCTCTGCCGGCTCTGGGGTTTCTCGGAGGTTTTGGGGGCGGTGTCAAGGGCTGGAGCTGAAGCATAACAAGTTATGGGGAAGATGTGGGGATGTTGGTGTAGCCAGCGAGGGACTCGGTGTGTGTGTGTGTGTGTGTGTATGTGTGTGTGTGTGTGTTGGGGCGGGGGGATGTCTAGATGCCGAGCAGGGTGGTCCTTCTGGGTGACTCAGCCCCGAGACCTCCAAGGCTGCTGGGGCGTGGTGACGATGCACTGTGGGCCGAATGCTGGGGCGGGGGATAATTTGGGGGGCACAGGCTGTGCAAGATGTGAGTCACAGGCGGTTGCACCCCGAGGGAGTGGAGGAGTCACAGGCCTGATGAAACTTAGAGCGGGGGCTCTGCTTCTTGCAGATCTGGGGCTGTGAGGAGCCGGGGACAAGGATTCTCATTTTAGAAATGCAAAAAAAAAAAAAAAAAAAAAAAAAACAAAAAAAAAAAAAAAAGAAAAAAGAGGAAATCAAGACCCACATGTTAGTTTTATGCTGCCTCTCTTGAGCCCCCTTTGGTGAAGGCTGGAGGAGGAAAAATTCCTTCTTTCCGGCGAGGGTGGGAGGGTGCCTCTGGGTTTAATCAGAGTTCACACGTTGTAGTCACCTCCTCATTAGCTTGGTATTAGCAGTCAGGCGATACCAGCTATTATTGGCCGACCCCAGTCTTGTCTCAAAGGAAAGTCCCCACATACACATGGAACTTACAGAGCAAGCTGACCGCCTCCACTTCTCCCTTTGTCCTTTGAAAAAACTTCATGGAGAGTTGAGAACGAGGTGTGAAATGAGTAAATTCACATTCTGTGTAATGCATAAATGAATAGTCAGTGGGCTTACTACCGTCCATTTTTATATTTTTGTTTTTTCAAGTTCCTGCCATTGCAGGGGGGCAGTGAGCAGCCCTAATAACTGCAGTCGTGAGTGTATTTCAAGGTTTCCTTTACAAGTTTTCCACAGTGCTTGTTTTATAAAGATGCCCAAGACTTTTATGGAGTCCTGTTATAAAAGATGTCATGTTTTCCTTTTGTTTGTGTTCTGTGGCCTAACTCATTCATTTTTGATGACGAGAGGAGAAAACCCAGGGGAACAAGAATGACTTCCTTTTTTGCAGATAGGAAAATGAAACATAAGTAGGATGACACAGGGTCATACAACCGCTAACAGAACAGCCAAGGGAGCAGAAGAAATGACCCAAATTCAGCTATGGAGTCTTCAGAGCTTTCCCTTTAATCAGGGACTTCAAACTCCTTTGACGCTGGCACTGAATAGAATGTGAGTAAAGAGGACTCGTAAGTAAAGACACCAGGGTGCTGGGTGTGGTGGCCCAACCCTTTAATATATTCCATCATCATCCTGCCATCCACCCATCATCCCCCCACATGCCCCCATCTCCTGAGGGCACACTCGGGAGGCAGAAGCAGGTGGATCTCTGTGAGTTCAAGGCCAGCCTGGTCCAGTGTACCTCCAATTCCTTTTCTGTCCTCGCTCAAGCCCTGGGGTCTGTTCAAACCCAACTATTCCCATGTGTGTCCCCTCACCTAGCACTTTCCAGATTTAGCAGCTTTGAAGACTCAAATCAAAGAAGTACCATTTTCTCCAAATGCCTATGATGCAGGGCGGGGGGGGGGGGGGGGATAAACACAGGGCAAACACCCTACTACTGGGCTTCACCCTAGCCCTCTCATTTATTCAAAGCCTTTCCCCCTTCAGGAAGACAGTTGTAATTCCATGATATTTTTGCTGAATAAACTCCAAGCATTCATTCACTGCCTACTTCAGTCATCTGACAGTCATGTGGAGTTAGAAAAAAAAAATCCTGGGCTGGAGGGTGTGATGTTTCGTGGCCCAGTTGGTAGAGTGCGTCCCTAGAATATACAAAGTCCTGGTTTGAGCCCTAGCACTGCATAAAGGCCATGGTGCCACATATCTAATTCTAGCACAAAGGAAATGGTGGTAAAAGCATGAGAGATTCAAGGCCAGTCTGGGGTAATGAGACCCTGCTTAAAAAGAAATCTTCCACTACTAGAGAGACGGCTCAGTGGTTAAGAGCACCCACTGCTCTTGCAGAGGACCCAAGTTCAGTTCCCAGAATCCACATGACAGCTAACAACATCTATAACTCCAGTTCCAGGGAAACTAATTGCCTTTTTCTGGCTTCCGTGAGCATGTGGGTGCACTTACACACATGGAGGCAAAACACTTACATAGAATAGAATAAATTAATTAAATTTAAAAAAATTTTAAAGCTTCCTGTTCATTATCTTTTCAGTTATTTAAACGTCTTTCCACTTTTTTATATATTTTTTTAATGTGGGGTCTCATGATACACCGATACACTATGTACCCCAGGAAGTTCTCAAATTCATGATTCTTCTGCCTTAACCTTCCCAGTGCCCAGATTACAAGGCACACCCCACCTTGCTTACCTTTCATCCAGTATTTGCTGATAGAAGAGAAAAATATGATCCAAAATAAAGGTCATGATTAAAATCAATTTATGAGCCAGGTATAGTGACTCATTCCTATAATCCCAACATTTAGGAAACTGAGACAGGAGGATTGGCAAGAGTGTGAGTCTAGCCTAGGCTACAGAGGGGGAGAAACCATTCCTCAAGAAACAAAAGTAATGGGGCTGGAGCAATGGCTCAGTGTTTAAGAGAACATAGTGCTCTTGCAGAGGACCCAAATTGCATTCTAAGTACCCAGATGGCACCTCACAACGATCTGTAACTCCAATTCTAGGGAATCTGACATCCTCTTCTGGTCTCCATGGACATTGCACCCATGTGGTGCACATATATATACATGCAGGCAAAACACTCATAAAATAAAAATAAATCTTAGGGGAAAAAGAAGGCTTATGGTTGAGTTTGTAACTCAATGGTAGAACGTTTATCTCATATTCCTGGGATTCATCTCCAACAATACAAAAAGGTTACAGGACATTTCCAGGCACAGGCAAAATAAAAGGTGAAAACTAGGATTTTATGTTCAGTTAGGCTGGTTTCAAATCTGGGAATACCTGTGCTACCCTGTAATTGTATAAACAGTCAAGATACTTAACCTTTTAATCTTTCTTTTTAAACAGTGTCTCTACATAATCCTGTCTGGCCTGGAATTCACTATATAGACCAGACTGGCCTCAAACTCACAGAGATCTGACTGCCTCTGCCTCCAGAGTGCTGGGATCAAAGGTGTGCACCACGTATTTTTATTTATGTGTTTGTGTGAGTTTACACCATGTGTGTGCCAGCACCTGTGGGGACCAGAAGAGGGCATGGGATCCCCTAGAGCTGGAATTACAGATGGCTATAAACTGTGTGGTGCCCAATTTAGGCGTTGGGAACCAAACTTAGGTCTTCTGGAAGAGCAGCAAGTGCTCTTAACTGCTGAGCCATCTCTCCAGCCCTCAAGTTACCTGTAGGAACATATGTAACCTAGCCCAGGACAGAGCATAAACGTCCAACAGATACCAGCTATGACTCAGGAACAATGCTGATTGTGATAGTAGTAATGACAATGATGTTGATAAGAGATTTTTGGAATGTTCTTACACCTAGAAGGGTTCAAAGGTAAAATGCTGGACAAGGTCCAGTGAGCTAGTTCAGTAGGTAAAGGCTGACCATGTGAGTTTGATCTCCAGGACCCACCTGGTGGAAGGAGAGAATCTACTCACACAAGATAGCCTCTGACCTTCACACTTGTGCCATGACACACGCTTACACACACACACTCACACACCACAGACAATGAATGGGGGCTGGAGATGTGCTTCAGCAGTTAAAGAGCACTTTCAGCTTTTACAGAGGACCTAAGTTGGGGGTCTCAGAATCCACGGCTGGCAGTTCACACCTGCCTGTAACTCCAACTCCAGTGGATCTGACACCATCTTCTGGCCTCCTTGGGAACCTGCACTTACATGCATGAACACACACATAGGCACACACCTATATACATAATTAAAAAATAAGTAAGGCTGGGTATGGTAGCACATGCCTTTAATCCCAGTACTTGCAGGCCAGCTGGGGCTACAGGGAGAGCCTGTCTCAAAAAAGACCAAAGAAAAAAAGAAGTCGTTTTTGTGTGTGCCACCACGCCCGGCAAAAATTAAGTAAGTCTTAAAAAAACAAAACTGGTGGGGCTTACTGGTGCAAATCTTTAATCCCAGCACTCAGGAGGCAGAGGCAATCTGATCTCTGTGAAATCTCACAGCCAGCCTGGTTTACCTAGCAAGTTCCAGGCTAGCTGTGGCTACAGAGAGACCTTGTCTCAAAAAAAACAAACAACAACAAAAACTACTTTAACAGGGCATAGTAGAATTTGCCTTTATCCCAGTACTCAGGAGGCAGAGGCAGGCAGTTCTCTGAGAGTTCAAGACCAGTCTGATTTACATAGTGAAACATTGTGTTAAACAAAAGCAAACCATAAATAAATAAATAAACAAATAAATATATAAAAATTAAAACTACTTTAAAGGATAATT